GGGGGGGGGGGGGAGAGAGTGGAGGAAACGACGCGACGCAAAGTAGTGTACGGTCGAAAAAACAAACGGAACGTACAAGAATCTAAGATTTCGGCCTAGCTGCCTCGGGATCGAACAGTAGATACTTTTAGCTTTCTTCGCTAACGATAGCCGTTATATAACCCAGTCGCTTATCGCGAAACACCCTGTACAGCCTCACACGGGCGCACAACCGCGCCAACGGTGACACGATCGCGCGCGTGCGCGCGGCGTACGCTGCCAACATACGCTTTGCCGTGTACAGTCCCGCCGGATTGTAATTGTATAAATAACGACCGGGCTCGTCTGCGCGCAAACGATAATCTATGTGTTCCGGGGTCGCGGTCGGCCCGTTTGAAGTCGCCGGCGGCGGACGTTTTAACGGTATTATATTGTAAATTAATAACGCCGCGGTAGACGGCGGCCGCACGTGCGTTTTCGCATAACAATACCGGCAGCGTGTAATTTCACGGGCGAATTTTCGTCGTCGCTTTTCGCAACACCCGGCCGTTCCGGTACGATATCGTTTTCGGCACTTTATTCGACACGGGAAACGTATCGCCGTCCGCGATCGGTCCGTTTCGGTCGCGCCCGCGTGGAGTCGTGTCGCTCTTGCGGTTGTCGTACAAAGGATACCGACGCATCGACAGACCGTTGACGGGCGGACCAACGGGCCGACGCGGTATCCACAAATCGCCGGGTTCGGGTTCGACGCCGCGACGGCCGCGGAGCGAATCGTTCGCCTTTGTTTTGTCTCGTAATAATTTCTCCCATGTGACCGCGGTTTCGCGTTAAAAGTCTACGGTTATTTCCGGCGGAGTTCCGATGCGAGTTTGCGGATGGAATTAGCCCGCGAACGGAAGTGGCCGAAAATCCCGAGACGAAGCAATGTCACGTGGATAACGGTGACATTACCGCACGCGCACGACAAAACACTGGGTCGCGGTAAACTTGAATTGACGAATCGGAATTGACCTGGCGCCGAAACGGTTCCCAGGTTGCTGACCACGGCTATAAATATAGGTGTTCGCGTGACGAGGACTAATACTTAACCGCGGAATGTTTTTATAATAAACCCCGTCAACAAACCTTATTGAAAACCACGGCTGGTGTATTCGTTGTAGCCATATTAAAAGCCTGCGGTTCTGCAGTGCGATCTGGTGTGAACAATGGCAATAGTCAATGTATTACGGACAAACTTATCAGTATAGTTAACACGTAATACCACATTAGTTCGTGGGAAACACAGTGGGAAGCCTAGCATAGGTCAACTTGCAACCGTTTATTTCTTTAGCCGATTGTGGTTTTTTTAATTTTATTCTGAAAGGGAGGGGGGGTCCTTTAATATCAACTTACAAATTACAATATAAATTTAACATACAAAATTTAATATAATATTACTATAATAAGTGTATACTTATTACTTATACTGAGAAAAAACATTTTACACACTGTATCACTGTATCACTGTTCACTTCGCTACTGCATTATTCTACGTGGTATGATGTGGACATTGGCTATTATAATTTATTATTTATTAGTAAACCGTATCGTTTCATAATAATAGAAAATAAGAATGAACAATCAAATCCTATTCATATTTCCAACGGTGCAGCTTGAGAACCAGAATAAGAAATAAACTTCAAACAGAATAAAATGTGCGGATTGTATTGTACAAAATTGAGCCGAAATGGAGTGTGCTATATTATGCAAACAGTCAGGGTCAGTCATTGTATTAATTTTTTTTTTTTTTTTTTTGTAATATTAGATTTATTTTTTTTTTTACTACAAATGAAATACTACCTATACAAATGTTGACTTTTATTTATTCAGCTATAAAAACACTTTTACAACGGCATACTAAGACATTAAGCAATTTAAACAATTTTTTTTTTGCTTTTCATGACTAATAAAAACAGATGACGTTGGTCTCGAAAAATGTATTGTAAAAAAGTGGGTCACGAGTCAATTAGCCTCAAGACCACCGTCATAGAGTTATATCTAATAATTACTTATCAATTACTCTATATATTTATTTAATGTATTATACTGGTATATAACTACAAAAGTAGTATAGTATAGTATAGTTGTAATATCTTATCAGTTATCTATGATAATACGATCGTATTCGAGTACAAAACATACAATTTATTGTTATCGTATTTTTTTTATCTTAAACCAGTCGAGTATTTATGTACATATTATACATATTCTTATTGTTTGCCGACATGATAATGTAACATTTTTATTTAAAAATCATAGATATATTATACTTATTTTATTTACTGCAAAGTTTTTTTTTTCGAAAAATCCCTAGTTTTAATATTATTAATTGTTAAACATATCTCGTGTTTATGTTACGTTCTTTTGAGTGTGAAACGACAAAGAATCACTCTGTATACAGTCGTTTATTTGGGAAATTATACATTTTTCAAAATGTTCAAATTTAAATTACCCAATACTGTTTACCGTCACATTTTCTCGTAGAATCGACATAAAATATTAGGTGTATTATTCTAGCCGGAATTATATTTATATTATTTATTGCCGTCACGTCGTTTCGGCCACGTAATATAATTGTACCTATACTCGGGGATTAGTGTCGTCGTCACCGCCGCCATCGTTGTTATTATTATTATTATTATTATAACGCTCTGCCACAACGCTGCCAAACTCAAGAGATCCATTTTTCATTTTTACCAACATCGCCATTCGTCCCGGAACAATAATTATTATTAATAATCCCGGAGTATTTTTAATTATTTTCATGTACCTATAATAATATTATTTAGGTAAGATTTGATTAATAAAAATACTAGGTATAGTTAACAATCATATGAACGTCACGCGCAACGCGTCCTCTTGAATTCGCCGTCGCACCGGGCTTCAAAATAAACGATTCAAAAAACGATTGAAATCGGGCCGGGCAGAGGTGCCCATACACCGGGCGCTATGACTACGGAGGCGCCATTTAAACATTTTTTTTCTAAAGTTCTGTAATTGAATATTTTTATAATTAATGTATGAATGAGAACGCCCAACAGACAGATTGGGCCTTTTCATTTTTTTTCCTCGTCGTTAAATTTTTCGGGCATAAGTGCCGTTTTTTCTAGACACGACAATGCCTACGAAGGTAACCTATAGGTAAACGATATACCTACGATTCAAACGAATAACAGAAAACGATGTACGGATGAAATACAAATGCAGTAATAGAGAAAACATTTTCTATCACGAATCGAAAAATCGCTTTCTTATCTATACTATAAAAGGAATTAAGATTCTAAAAATATTCCTATAATGATTTTTATGTTTATTTTTTTTACAAACACAAAATTGTTAAATGCAACTCATTCTCAAAAAAAAAAATAAAAAAAATAAAAAAATACGACCCAAAATATGATAATCTGAATATGAGCAATCGACGTCAATCCAGTACAAATATTTGCCAATTTTGTTCAAATTTACAATAAAAATTAAAAAGGAGAACAAACAAATGTTTTATTAAAATATTAAACTACTTATAATTAATGATCTTCATTATTACAGTATGTTTATTGAAATTTCATATAAATAATGTGAAGGTCTCTTTTTTCATAAAATCTTAAAGCTTGTTCAGTTTTTTTTTTTTATAATATGGTCAACGTTAAACGGAATATTTTATACAAGTTTAAATGGGTAGAACATTTTTGGTCTCAAACGATCTCATTTCTCTCTCCCTACGTCTTTTTGTACATCTCTTTTTATACGCTATTCATAAATTAATAGGTGATTACGACGATGAATTTTTCTGGATAATAATATTATATTATTAGCTTACAACTTGTAAGTTGTAATTAAAGTTGTTCAATGATACCGACAGAAAAATGAAATCTGAGTCATATTAAATGAACAACATTATTTCATTATATTTATATAGGTGCAATAATTAATGTCGTATACGTATGTTAAGGTAATCGGTTAAAAAATTAAATTTGGCTGGTACCTATGTATTTTAGTAAATAACTGTTTAAAATTGCATCGATGCAGGTCAATGAACTAAGGTTAATTTAAAATTTATTATAATTATTATTATTATTTTTATTTTTTAATGAAATCCAATAGCATCATGGTGCTTAGCTTAATAAAAATCAGTTTAAATTAATAACAGCATAATCATAATTACCACGGTTAATTCTAAAAAAACAACAACATGTGATAATAAAATAAACTTTATTCTTTAGTATTCCATAAATTAATACTGTACAATATAAATCTAAATAAAAACTAACAAGTGTTGTACTACCTACGTATATAAATAAAACTTTAACAATGTTTAAACTACACTATAGCTGAGACAATACATATATTATTGTACTTAAAAGCGTAAGCAGAGGTAAAAACTCGTGCATGTATTATGCTTAAAGAAACGTATATTAAACTGTAATTTATATAAAAACTGGAAAACAATTTATGTATACTAAAATAGAGAAAAACACAATTTTACAACCAAACATTAATTATAACGTTAGGTTATAATATTTAAGTTTATAAAACTAGGACGTCCTTCGCATACAACGGGTGAACCGTTATTGTCGGGATAATATATATTTTATAATGTACCTACTGAAAACTACGATCAATAAATGTAATAAAAATAAACAATTCTGAGCGGAACACGGTAAACAGATAATGTTATTGGTGGTATAGATCACTGTATATTATTACACAGAAAATGCTACAATTTAAAATCGTATAATTTATTTTTTTTGTCCATTGAGTTGTTCTTGTAGCTTATTCTTTATATACATTTCTCTTTTCAGAGATGTAGAATTCATACGGACGCCCTCTCTGCGAGATTTCACTAGCTCTATTCGATTACCACTATCTTTTGAACATTCCGTTTTTATAGTACTGTCACTTAGGTCGCTTAATAGACTGTCAATGGAGCTGTGAGTATATAATGGACATCGATTAATATATAATATTTGCATATGAAACTGTACCTATTGGATTGAATATTCGTTTTTAATTAATTTTTTTTTTTTTATGCGATAGGGGGATAATAGTAGATGATGTTTGGCAATTCTATGGCCTTATAATATTGTTAAGGCTATACAAGAATAAATACCATATGACGGTGTCTTTAGCCAGCGTCGTGTCTTCATCGTGAATTTTTTTGTCGGTACTGAGCGGTGATGATATTATTGGCAGTGGTGGTGTCGATTGTGGGTCCGTTTCGTCTTGCCGAAATTCTAATACCAGTTCTACCCGTTCGTCAGTTTCGCATATAGTATTCTCAGAGTCTTGTGAACTCATGGTGTCAATGGTTGGTGTTGTCGGACTTTCTGGTCCAATGTTGTCGTCACGTTCCTGGAAGTGTATCATCGTCGTTTGTCGTTGCTCTTCTTCTTCGGGGCGGTCATCACGGTTATCGGAAACCGGAAGTTTGAAACCACTCGCCAAGTCCTTCAGAAGATATTCCACAGCACAATCGGCTTGCGATGTCACGTTGTACAGTTTGAATCGGTGTAACGATCCGGATCGCGGTTGACAGTTTGACGTGATGTCTTTATCCCCGAGCCATTCTAGCGAACGAATTATGGACAACTGTACAACAAAAAAACAAACCATAAACGCCCAGATGAATTAAAACTTAAAATATGTATAATACAAACTTGTGATTTGCTGATTGAAACTTTTTTCGGAATGATCATCCATAATATCGGTTTTATGTTATCGTTATTATCTGATCTACCCAAGTACATAAGATACTTCTCTATTTTTCGGTCGAATAAATTGCACAATGAAAACGATTTAATTTTGGTCGAATCTCCAGGGTTTTTGACGTTTTCCAAATTCGACACCAAATCATTCAATATCGCATTTTCGTCTGGCTCCAACTGAAAAATATCCCGGTGGTTAGTTTCGTTTAAAATGTACTGTTGCTGTGTACTTTTTATACTTTGCATAGGTACACCAATATGAGCATATTATTATCGTTGTCGTCGTCAAGAACTTCATCTGTGTGCAAGTTTTGGCTGACGGAATGAAACACCAAATGAATTTCCATAGGAAATCTATTAAAATTTACAGGTTTTAATAAAAAAAAAAAAAAACGCATGTTGATTGAAATATAATAGTTACTGTTTTCCCATAACGCGGTGTTCGCCGCCCTCGTCGTTTTTAGCGCCCCAGTGGAAACGATAACTCCGAAATTCATATGGACATGGCAATACGGAACCGGTTAATACCGGCCTTTTGCCATCGAACTCTGTTTGAATATCGACTGGCGTGTTTGAAAATTTAAAAACGAATACGTTAATATTAGTATTATTAACGGACTAAAATAATTATTTTTCGATTGCAATGATTGAATTACATAAAATAGTATTTTTTTTTTTTTTTTATTGATTAAATCATGAAGAGTGATTTGCACTGAATATTCAGTTATAATTTAGTCGCATTCGTTATAAATTAAAACGCTCATTGACATCTCTAAAAATGTATATTTCGACTTATCGATAGACGCAATATTGCGTTTTATTTTGCAAAATATTTTATCGACACTTTATGTTTCTAACCTTTGTTCGGTTAACGCTAAAATACTAAAAGTTGAAATACTGAAAACTAAAATTTAAAATTTTAAAATTTTAATTTCTAGTTTGATTCCTTATTAGCCCTTACGCGTCGATCCAGTATTTAGAATAGTCATATCCGATGGTGTTTGGTCGAAATCCGACCACATTAGCGGTGGCGAACGCATAGACTTCAAATCGGCCAGACCGATGTCCAGTGGATACGAATCGAAAATCCCGTCGTCCAGATTGATTGTTCTTGTATGTTCTTCTAACCATGTGTTGATCGATAAATTATCGGATTCGGTTTTTGCTAGACGGGCACAAAAATATGCAAATCAAACAAAAAGGTGTATTACATCACAATACAAACTATAATATACTGGAATACATTATACTTACTGTCGGTCATTTTAAGTTTTTGTGTAGGGTTTAGTATGTTATTTAATTTCGAATTGGTAATATTGTGTTGTCTATAAAGTATTTAGATTTTTGTTTAAAAAAAAATATTTTTAACGATTTATTTTGTACTAAGTAGATAATATTATTATTGTGTGTGCTGTTTCCGTGGTGAAATTATTACATTCAAAATATAATTTCTACAGTTTATGTAAATTTCAGTATTTTTCAATGTTTAAAATGATGATTTGTAAAATATATGCAAAGCTCTCGTGTATATAACCGATAGTGATGCTATTTGAATAATAAATTATGTTTTAGATTCCGTGTAAAACGAGGAAATTATTACTTTACCTATGATGTTCGCGTTTTTGTGTGATCTATTAAACGACAACTTTTCTACCTGACATCTATCTCCAATCATAAAATTAAAATTGAGCTACTTTGTAGAATTTTGGATTTCATTGACGTATTTAGAAGATTATTTTATGATTTTTCAACGTAGTTTTCATAATAGCTGACAAAAATCGAGAACAAATCGTACAGGGAAAACGGACGAATTTACGGCAATACATTTTCATTTTAATTTTGTTCTATACCAGAAATCTTGCTCCAAAATTCAAGTGTAGCATATTTTATCCTTCGAAATTTAGCCATAAGGTTTAGACAAGACAAATATATATTACTTTTTTACCATAATATACATGAATTTACGTGCAATCGAACACAATCAGTGACGACCAGGTGGTTTATGAAAATCTCGGCTCCTCAGGTAAAAAAAATATATTTGTATACACGACTAGAAATACAAAATGGAAGATATATTATATTACGCATTTTGACTGGCAAGGATGGGTACTGTACCCTATACCGTGATGGGTGAATAGAATTACCGGGAAACCGAGATTTTCCCAAGGGATCCACATCGTCCGTATCGGGGCTCTTTGTCAGTGTCTGACCTCTTCCTTGTAAAATATTACGTCAATGTATTTCACAATTTAAGAAAAATATCACAGCAACGTTCACATTGACAACGAGATTTTTTTTTAGTTGATTATAAGAAATTCGATACATTTGTAGACTCTGAGCAAAGCAAGGAATGTATTACACGAACTATTGGCTATTACCAAGTAAATTATTGGTTTTACTAGCTATTAGGTATGATGTGTATTTTATTTTTATGAAAAACTTTTCTGTTAAAAATATTTTTCTCAAGTTTAAGAGAAAGTTTAAGAGTTTCTAAAAGAAAATATTGTATAATTGGTGAGTATTATAAAGTAGTTTTTGATATTTTTGTCTATTTTTCTTAATAATTGTGAAAAACGGGAAACATTACTGTTGTATTATTTTCGATTTTGTTTTTTTTACTATTGTTTGGTTAAAAATAATCGTACAGGGTTTACATTTTCGTAAAATAATTCTTCAAACCTTTCGTAACATAAGAGAATGTTCAAAACATCTTGTAGATTGTAAGCTCTTTATTAGCATTTATATGGTTTCACAAGATCGATCAAGTGGAGAAAAGCGTCAAGCTTTTTGTGTTACAAGATAATTCCAAAGTGACTTAGAGTTAATTTTGCAAGAGTATGGTAAAATAGACTATGTTGTATGGGTCAGAATGTTGGGCAGTAGACAGAAAAATATATATACCAGAGAATGAGTGCAGCAGTGACGAGAGAAGATAGAATATGGAATGAGTATATAAGAGGTACCTAGCTTAGATGTGGCTTTGATAGTGAAATAAATAAAAGAAAATAGATTGAGACGGTTTGGACATATCATAAGGAGAGACGAATTAGAAGCACTTAGAATTGAAATGCAAATGGACGTAGAAGGAAATATAGGTAGAGGAAGTCAATAAAAGAGGTAATTGGATATGGTTGATAATGATATCAGGTAGCGGGCATATGCGAGGACGATGTGGGGGATCGGGTCAAGTGGAAAAAAGTGGCCAATTTAAGCAGTTGGGATGAAGGCGAATGAGAAGACGATATGATCTCGGAAAGCTCAAGAAATCATTACAAGAAAGAAAAAAAAGAGTAGATACTGCTGACGGGTTCGCTATTCTTTTAGATGGGAATTTGAGAGGATAGGATACACAAAGTTCTTTAATTTTTTGAGTATATTTTTAAAAAACGTTAAATCATTGCGAACGAAATACAATTCTGAGCGAAGATCGGTTATACATGTTTTGAAATACTATAATATTCACAATTTTCATTAAAATATGATCTTAAAACGATTATAAAAAAAATATACTACTACTAACGCTTAACTTTTTACCACTATGTTCAAACTACAATGTTCTCGTGTTAAACGTTCATGCATTTTTGTTTGGTCGAACAATTTTATCTTCATAGTACCTACAAAAGAAAAACTGCGTGACAAATTAGAAAATAAAAAATGTATTATAAATAGCTCAATAAAAATTTTAGTCAAAATTTCAAGTGTCTACAAATATTTTGAATTGAATTACAACGCAAATAAAATAAAAATAATGAAATCATTAATTTTCGTAAATTCTCTCGTCCTTTCTACGTTTTCCTTAGGTTTTGTTTAATTATTAAAAACAAAAAAAAAGTAAACTAAAGAAAAACACATCATATTTAAATCAAATAGTAATACTTAAAAGTACTAAACACAACAAAAGTTGTTTCGAATACCGGATTTTCTAGTCAACAAAATCAAAAAACATACTAGAAACGATACAGATGGACGGACATTAGTGGGAAATAAGGTGTTAAAAACTTATATTTAGAACCTTAAACCTATAATTATTTATAAACCATTTCGTTATGTAATTAATTGTACTGTTATTAGTTTCTAGTAAGTCTTGCGCGAATAGCCTCCACGTTTTGTAGTAAATAAAAAAAACCACCGATGTGCTGTAGTGGATAATGGACTGATGAACGGAGAAAAATCGTGAACCGCTGCACCAATTCCCACGATTTCCTGACACAATAATATAATAACTATTATTTAGTGACCACTTGACTGTCCACCACAAACATAAATGTCGGATATTGATTAAAAATTTAGATAGGCACGTTGGTAAAAAACGCGACCGCGACGTTTTCGATTTTTGTCACGCCATCACGAATGAACACTACCGATCAAAGAAAATCGTACTTTTTTTTTTTATTCAATGAAATAACGACTTTATTTTTCGGTATGAGAAGGCATGTCATATTACACACACACAAAAAAAAAAATTAACAACAGAACTGTTCTGGGTCATCATCATTTTCATCATTACGCAACAATAATTCGTTGCTAACGAAATACGATTCAAAGTGAAATTCGGTGATAGGTACTTAAATATGATTTTAAATACAGTAATTATTAAGATTTTCATCAAAATGTTAACTAAAAACGATTTAAAAAAATTAAATTGTTTTAGAACACTTAATTTTTTTTAAGCTATTAATTGCAACATATAAAGAAATTTGAGTAAATTGTTTATCTTTTCTGCCCAGTAAAATCAATATTATCCACATACAACCAAATAATAGTTAAAAAAAAAAAAAAACAATTATAAATACGTAAAATACTTTTAAATATAGCTCGAAAATCGCTAGAATGTTTTACTACGTCTAGAGGTTAATATAATTGTTTTGTGAATATTCCAGCTCCTTAGGATTATTTTTAACTGATTTACAAAAAAAAAGACGGTCATACTTCGCACGATGAGTAGCCACTGTTGTAGGTGAAAAGTTGGGAAGGTATGAAAAAGAGCGGAATTTAACGTATTTTTGTATGCAACGATTAATCATTGCTAACAAAAAACGATTATAATCGGAAATACAGAATATGCATATATTTAAAGGCCGTAATATCTACGATTGTCGTCAAAATTTGATATAAAAATTATTATAAAAATAAAATACTACATTATTCTCAACTTTTTCCGATTGGCCACGAGTTGTACAGCTTATAATGAACTTGCTGTTAAATTTCCAAGCATTTCTATTTGGCCTACCAATTTTATCCACAGTCAGAGTACCTAACCGAATACTAACCATCGAATAGAATTTATTAAAGATTTATAAAAGATTTACTCGACCGACCTTTGCGATTGATTTGAGAATATGCCCCCAGTATCTAAAACGCCCCCACTCGGTTGACCCGAGTTCGGTTATATTTTATTATTATCTGCGGGAACGCATCATCGCGAGACGTACGTACTAAATATTTGATTTGTCTAACGAGTTCAAAACACAATCGTTATTAGAGAACGCGCGATGGACGCCTCTGTACATTTTTAACGGAGTTTCGTCTCTACAATACCCGACGGGCTAGTAAAACGTTTTTCAAACCGATCGCGTGCGTTGACCGATTGCTATTCGGAAGCGATTTCTTGCGTAAACCTTTTAAAAGAATACACGTTCGTTTTTGAAAACGTTTTACCATTTCAACGCAGCAAGTTAGATAATTGTATTTATTTTTTTCATATATCCGACTTGTGCAATGCGTCGTCGCCACTCGCACCGATTCGCGTTTCATCTCGTTATTGCCGACATTCCGTACTGCGGTAGGTTAAGGTAAATGAACTACAATCTATCGATAATGAACAAAACGATCGAACCGCACGCGAAATTATTAATATAACACGAGCAATACCTATTATACCACACGTGCGCGAATCCCGCGTGACGTCAATTATAATTACACGTTTCATCCGAAACGCGCGCGCACAATCTACAGGTAATTAATTTAAACTGACGGAATTGTGTACGCAATTAGGTGTTGCGGTGCGAAACGATCGAATAACGAAATATTACCGCGTCATTTTCAGAGGCCGTTTTGAAAATGGAAAAGTGTCGATTGAAACGGTGTTCGGTGAGGATTTCAATGTCGGCTACCGCGGTATTTAAAATCGTAGTGTCTATTATGGACGGTCGTATCCGTCATCAACACGCAATGTTATTATTCAGAAGAGCCGAAAACCGTATATTTTTTGTTCCCTATTCGTTGTTATTGCAAATCTAGTTACACTGCAACTGTTAAATTAAC